CAAATGACTTATATTGTTTTCAAATATTAATCGATCCGTCTCTATTAAAAAATCCAAATCGTACGTTATCCGTTTGCATAAATATATATATATATATACAGTCACTAATATGTCTATGGCCAGGGGGCATACTACGAAATGATTAGTTAAGCCAGATTGTTCACGCGATAAAGTATATGTGTGTGGTTATTGTCCCTGAATTAATTAATATGATGCAACTTTGTGTTAGAGACACTTTTTAAACATTACAATATAAGATGACTTTCTGTGTAAACATGTTTTGATAGCATGTTAGACAAAGTGCAGTATATTTTACCAAATTAGTATATTGTACCAAAGTGCATTTGTTACTATTCTGTATATAAACTTATTTTAAGAATTTGAAATATTTGTGAATTTGTTTCAATTCTATGCTTATAATGATGTAGGTATTTCTCATTCAAACAATTAAAGTGGTCAACATATTTTAACATGCGAGACAGTATTTTGATAGTCTTTATGATTTATGCTTGTATTTTAATTAAACAAATGTGTCAAATATTTCAATTTGAATTATGATAATACATTTTCTCGATTAATTGTTATTTTATTTCCTGAATATATTATTAATTGTAATAAATATTATTTTAATGGTTTAAATCTTTAAATGTTGTACATCTTGTCGTTTCAATTAGGATTTGATTGTGTCGTCTAAATCAAAATCATTGGATTCAATGAAATATCAAAATTCAAATTCAATTATTTTATCTCCAAATGAGTTGAACTCAATAGAAGTGATGCAAACGGACGACGATTTGCTCGAAACACACCTTTAAATATATCCCTCTATTCTTCAATTGAATAAAAAGTATTATATATTATAATATAATTAACTAATTATTATCAGAATTATAATGATATATAAATATGTGATTATTGAATATAATTTAAGTATGGAAATATTTACTTAACTTTCTAATTTTTAAGCACTTTATCAATTTATTTTTTATTGTTTCACAAAATTATATTATTTCTTATAAACAGTAATTTTAAATGACATGTAATGTAATAAAACATGAAATATCGTTCAAATGAGAGCTGACAGCGAATTGATTTATTCAATAACTTTGGTATTATATTAACTTTATTCATAAAAATGGCATATAATCTACTGATATGTTGTAAATTTTTAGTAATGCCAATATATCGACCAAACGGTAGACTGACCAGATGATTATGTGACAATTCTGGATTTTAAACAAAAAATCAGATTAATAATCCTTGATTCCTGGACATTTTCCTAATTCTAATTATTTTGTCCTGGACACTTCAATAGACTCAATGTTAAAACTATTTTTAAAATTCTGGACAGATTATCTAACTCATGGACAATCCAGGTCATTCCTGGTCATCTGATCAGTGTACCAAACGGGTGTTTACATCAAAAATTAGTAAATTTCACGATATTACCACTCATTAGAGATAAAGGTAAGATCATTATATGTGTATTTATTTTATGATTATTTAAGGAATAGCGTAAATACAATTAATTTATTTATTGTATGCTTTAATTTTTGCACCAACATTTAAGATGTGTGTCAGTCTTTAGAGATGTGATTGGTAAAATTTTGTGAACGTTTAGGGATAAATTTAGCCCTAAATTTAGGGAACGTTTAGGGGGCCCTCTGAACATTTAGGCTAAATATTAGCTAATTTAGGCTCTATATTAGCGACATCTAAATTTCATCTAAAAATCATTTATATAGCAAATAGTTATTGCATAAATTACTAATTTTTATAATTTAATCTAAATTAATCAATACTGTATTATGTAAAATAATTTATTAAATACGTTATTTATCGGAAGTATATCATTAGTTTGTAGAATCGAATTTTAGAATATGTTTTAAGTGAAATATTTATAGAATTGATAACAGAATATTCAAGAATTTACAAGAATCTTTTAAGAATTTGGAATAATTAGATACCAAAAGAATTATTATTATTTAAAATAAAACATGTTCTAATTAGTTTGGTTCTTATATATTTTGCCACATTAAAAGTATCTAGTTGAAAATTTCGAATTTTTGTGAAAATTTATCCAAATTCTTGAGTGAAATTTTCATTCCTACTACTGTAATACTAAGTTAGTAATAATACATGATCAAATAGAATATTTAAAACCCATTTATATTGTAATAAAAATCAACAAAATATTTAATATAAGTCTTCGTTTTTATGTACTTTAATTATATGTTCCTTAAAAATAACAAAATATATTAGAAATTTGAAAGTTGTTTTAAAAATGGATATTAAATTTTACCAAAGTATAAACTGATTGTGAAAATAATTACTGAATTTGCAAAAATTGAATGAATTATTTTTGTGAAGTAATTTAAAACATATAAAAATAGAGATTAAATTTAAATTGAATAAATTAAATAATATAATTTGGAGTTATTTATGATTAATCTAACATTTAATCTCAATATGAGAATCAAATATTGATAAGAATTATATTAATTTTGATAAATATTAAGCATCTTGGTGAAATATGAATCCGGATTTGAAGCCAAAACTGACGGCTTATCAAATTCAACGATCTATAAGAAAGTAATTATATTTAAAAACAAGAATGCATTGAATGTAATATTAATACCTCTCCGTCACTGACAACGAGGACGCGGTCGCAGTTTTGCACAGTTGCCAATCGGTGTGCGATCGTAACAACAGTGCAGTCTTTGAATTCATTCATAACTGTGTTTTGAATGATATTCTGTGTCTCTCCGTCCACGTGAGCCATCGCTTCGTCCAAAATAATAATCTTATTTTTCCTCAACAAAGCTCTGGTCATACAAAGCAATTGTCGTTCACCGGCCGAAAAGCTGGCGTCCCTTTCGTTGACCGAATTATTGATACCATTTCTTAAATTATTCACTTTTTGCTTTAGATTCACGCTTTCGAGCGCTTCCATTATAGTTTGGGTTTTGAATTCGTTAAACGGATCCAAATTCTTTCGTATCGACCCTCGGAATAGGATCGGGTCCTGAGGTATGATTGATATGCGAGATCTCAATTCTTTCAAAGGGATCTGTGATATATCGATCTCATCGATACTTATTGAACCGGACGTGAGTTCAACTAATCTGAACAGTACTGAAGTGATGGACGACTTTCCAGCGCCGGTTCGGCCAATAATTCCAATCTTTTCCTGTGGACTGATATCGAAAGAGATGTTTTTGAGGGCGAGTTTAAGTCCTGGTCTGTAGCGCATCGTTACGTCTCTGAAACTAATTCTTCCTCTTGAGGGCCAGTTTTCCAACCGAAATGTATTGGTTTGAGTGATGACATCCTTTTCAGGTTTCAAAGTCTGTATATACATATGGATTCGTTCAACGGATGTGAATCTCGTCTCTGCATCGACACCCAATCTGATCACGAATTGCAATAAACCGCTCAACTGTTTCAAACATTTTAAAAATAAAACTTTAATAACTCATATAAGTTGTGATATTTTTGATGTAATGAATACCTGCATCGATAGGACGAGCGCCAGACCAGCAAAGGCTGCGCCGACACTCTGTTGACTACAGATCGCAAATATAGCGGCGAATAATGAGACGAATACACAAAGAATATCCATTCGAGTTGAGAGCCAACGCATTGAACAATAATAGAGAAAATTGGGCGCCGATTGATAGTCAACCAATTGATTAAATTTATTAATAAATTGCTTTTGTTTGTTAAATGCTTTGATTGTTTGCAATCCTTCAATGGTTGCTGTGATGTGACTATAGATAGGAGAGCGAAGATTATTCTCCAGACGCTTCAAGTCTCTGATGGCACCCCTGAACATGATATGGATGAGCCAAAACAGTACCACCAGCGCAGACAATGGCAATAAAAACCACGGATAGACCAGAATTATAATGAAAATGTTGCAAATAACTAACATTAGACGTTGAAAGAAACCATCCAATGCTTGCGGCACTTGAGTGTCCATCTCATCCATATCTCGCGTAAATATATTAAGTACTCTTCCAATAGGGATGGTATCGAAGAAAGCCATCGGACTTTTGAGCACTTTTTCCAATGCCTGGTCGTGAAGAAGACTCGATGCGCTGAGAGTTACTTTCGTGAACATATATCCCAGAGTTAATGTCACGCATAATATTATAGCAACACTGAGACCATAAATGGTTTGATAAAATTTGAGATCAGGATTATCTATGATTAGATCGTGTCCTACAGTTTGGTTATTGTCTGTATTTGTTGCCTTAATTCAAAAATTTTAATTTAATTAAAATGTATTAAAAATATGATTAAAATAACATACATTTCCATTTCCTTGTGATATCCAATAGCCTAACCACCAGTTGGCAAATGAAGAAGAGATTGCTTGAAATGCAAGCCATCCGATGACAAATGACACAATGAAAGCCCCGCCGCCGGCACTTATATATGCCTTATAGGTATCCCACGATATATTTCCGGTTCCCATCTTTTCATCCAATATTATTCTGTCTGACATTAAAGTGTCGATCGATTCAGGATTTTGGTTAAATTCTAAATCAATCACTTCTGAGACTTCACTCTTGTTGTCTTCGCCATCGAGAGGAATGGGTTTCACATCCGACCAATCAGGAGATGAGAAACGTACTTCATCTTTATCTTCAGGACTATGGTCTGTAATAACAGGTTTGCTGTCCTCTTCTTCTTTATGGCTAAATTCCGTTTCTGATGAGTCGATGAGTTGTCTATAATCGTCATCACTATTATAGAGATGATTGTGAACACCGGTGTTAACAACCCTTCCGTCGCGCATAAACACAACAAAATCCATAGTTTCTAAGCACTCAATATTATTTGTTATGAGTAAAACAGTTTTATCTTTCAAACCATTTTTAATACAGTTATTGAATATGTGTTGACCGACATTGCCGTCAACAGAGGACAGGGGGTCATCCAATAGGTATATATCTTTGTTCGCATAGTAAGCTCGGGCTAAACTAATTCTTTGCCGCTGACCGCCCGATAGAGTGACACCGCGTTCGCCGATCTCTGTCTGGTCGTCGGCCGCCAACATCGAAATGTCATGACTTAGTTCACAGCATCGGATGCTCTCGTAATATCTCTTTGAATCAAAACTGTTGCCAAATGTAATGTTTTCTTTAACGCTAGCGTTCAAAATCCAAGGGTCTTGAGAGACATAAGCGATGGAACCCTTAACCCCAACCTTTCCCGTAATGAGTCTCATTTGGCCTAAAATTGTAGTCAAAAGTGCAGACTTTCCCGAACCAACACTTCCTATAATTCCAATATGTTTTTCGTTTGGGATCTCGAGATCCAAATCAAATAAACACATGGATGTGAGAGTTCCCGTGCGCTGAACAATACTCTCTTTAGTCGATTCTTTAGTCGAAGTCTGGTGTTTAGGAGGCGGTGAATATGTATCCCACGCCAGAGTCGCTCCTTTAAACTCAACACTATTGGACGGATTGGCTGTGAGTCTAATGTAGTTCTCTTTGTCGTCAAATTGAAGAACTCTTTCAATGCGTTTCAATGCAATCCTTCCGTTGACTATATCTCGAAGATATATCGGAAGAGAACGAATGCCGTGAGCGGCCACATAGTTGACCATCACTAGAGTGAATGCCTGTCCGCAAAGTCTTATTAATTTTATTTGATTATTATTTTGTTATAATAACTCAGACATACTGTGGCTGCAGTCAGGTCTCCCTGTTTGGCAATAGTATAGGCAAGTATTGTGGCCACTGTTATGATCAATGGTGTCATCAATGATAGAGAAGTGCTCACGCATTGCAAGTATTGGCATTTTTCAAGCAATAATCTTTCTTTCTTTCTAAATTCTAAACAAAATGATTTACATTTTTAAAATATTTCAAAAGTTGTATTGTTATATAAAAACCTAGTATAGAGTCGGAAAATGTATGCTCCCATCCATAGAGTTTAATTAGTTTAATATATGTTAACAATTCGGTCATTAATGAAATGCGTTTATCGCTATTCACCACAACTTGCTTTCGATAAATACTCTGTCCTTTTGCTGTCAAGAATTGGAGACCGAATATTAATACAAATACTAATACCCCGACCAAAGCAAACACCCCCAACAGCCACCACGTGTACACCACTGTCACTACAGTTACTATCGGACCGCCCAATACTAGCGGAAGAATATAAACCATATGAAACACTTTATTAATATCAACGGCAAACAGGTTAACGGTTTCTCCAATCGATTTGTTCACAGTTCTCGAAGTTAGCAATTTATTATATAAGAGTGCATTGATTGCACTACTCGTACGGATGGCAGTCCTGATACAAATGGCATACATTATAGCGAAAGAGGACGCTCTGCCCAATTCGCTTAAGAATAGGGCGATCGTCCACTTGATTCCCGTCCCAATGGTATCGGATTCGTTCTCAATGTAATCCAACAGTTTCTTGAGAAACAGTGTCTACCATTGCAAATACAAATGCTATTATTTATCATGTATTTGGAAAATAATGATAAACTCTTACAGAACTTAAATAACCCAATAGAAGGCAAATGAGATAAAAGAGCGAACAAAACACAAGCCTTGTTTTGATGAACCGATAGACCACTGTTTGAAGGGAAGCATTATGTAAGCCTTCCTCACGACATTCATCTTCCCATATATTAGCCATTCTATGGAAACATTAAACACTCATTCAGTGTTTGATTTATACTTTCAACAAAATAAACCTCAAACTATTGATACGACAAGAATCCAATGGCGAACAATTATATACATCGTTAGGTTTGAGCCCTTTTCTAAACGATTTCCATATTAAGTCAGTCATCCACGAGAAGTACACGAATTTAAAACACGACGCGCTATCGATAGGCATATCTTTCGCGTCTCTTTAAATTTTGTAAATATATTTTGTAATTATAAATGCATTTTAATTCAATTATTGGTTTAATAGTCAACCTCTTTGTGGTTCTAAAGGGCAAAAGGTGTTGAAATTCATGTTTGTATTTCTTTGCGCCTTTGCTTTTGATGTATTCATTAGAAGTTGTGGTCGACTTATATATACTGAAACAATCATTTGTCACATTTAACATTTAAATAATGTAATGAATATTCAGATTATTTACATAACATTTGCAAAACAAAATACAAATCATATATTTTCTTACATATTCTCCTCGTCGTCAAGATTTATTTTATGTTCATTTCCTGAACTTTCCATTACTGTATTCTAACTTATATACTATATATTAGATTTAAATTTAAGTGAATTTAAATTAAATAATAATAATAATATAATAATTTCTAGAAAACCACATTTTAGGATAAATAAGGTATAACTAGTTATGGCAAAAAATACTACTCCAAAAAGTGCTGATTACCAGTAATTCTGTTTCCATAGCCTTTAACTGATAAGTGGATAACAAAGTAAAGAATGAGTTTATAACTTAATTAAGAATCATTTATGTTATTATAATTTGATGGATAATTACAGGTATTTTGTCTATTTATTTAGGTGTGTAATATAGTGTGAACATTATTTTATATAAATAACTTATTTATTTATTGGTATTTTATTTAATTTAGATATTATTATATTACAAAAGTTATAGTAAATTAGTTTTGTTTATTTTGCCATATAAATTAATATCATGTAGTATCTAACAATATTATATTACTTCTGTATTAATAATACAAAAAATTATAATTTACAAATTAAGATCAATATATAGTTTATATATAACAATTTCAAACAATTAATATTAAATTCTAATTGCATTGCAGCTATGTTTCAGTTGGTAATATCTTTGGTTATTAACCATGATTAGTTTACAGTACTTTAATAGTATCACCTTCAACCGGCACTTTTGCCCCACTGTACCACTCAATGCATAGGTTTACAAATGAGTTGACATTTAAATGCCGGCAATGGTTATCACAAATACCGATAATTGTCAACACATAAAGAAGACTAAAGAATTATAATAAAATCTTGTTCAAAATTCTATTTATTACTGTATCAATTATTGTAAATTAAAAATTAATCATAATTTAATAATAATAAAAATTTCACAATCTAAGTAAACTAATTTTAATTATATAAAACATACTCTTTCTAATATATGTAACAATTAATGGTGTATTTTATTTTTAACAACTGTTATAAAAGCCATAATAAAACCGATTCTTGAAAGCGTTTTGTTGTAAATTGAAGATCAAAATTAGGTGAAAAAGATTCATAACCGGCGGAAGAATCGGTTCCAAACACATCCAATACCATACGGTTGAGGAGATGTAAGCGATGAGCAGTCATTCGGTCTAAAAATTTCATGTATGAGGGCTTCATATGCTTTGGCTCTAACACGGCCTGCAATGAATTAAATTAATAAATAAAATTATGTCTCTTTAATATACGATATTTGAAAAATTAGTTACTGAATAAAAGAGCTGAGCAGTTGACAGGGCGTACACTAAATGGACAGTCGGCATAACAAAGCGAATGTAACCTTTTTTCACTCCAATACAATATAAAGACTAGAAATATAGATAAATGACAAACAATTAAATAAATACTCATTAAATTGAGCGAGTATAAAGACCTCAATGCATTTCCACATAAGATATAAAGTGATTGAAGTATTGGGCGATAAGAACATCGTTGGACCGGCAAAGAGAGCGGCTATGAATGAATGCCAATCATGCGATCCATTAGAAGCCCACCGAAGACTACAATTCACTCCTTTATAAATAGCCGTAAATGAGGCCAAAAATAGACCGAAATAGATATTATCAGAGTTTAAAAAAAGATTCATAACCGGCGGAAGAATCGGTTCCAAACACATCCAATACCATACGGTTGAGGAGATGTAAGCGATGAGCAGTCATTCGGTCTAAAAATTTCATGTATGAGGGCTTCATATGCTTTGGTTCTAACACAGCCTGCAATGAATTAAATTAATAAATAAAATTATATCTCTTGAATATGTGATATTTTAAAAATTAGTTACTGAATAAAAGAGCTGAGCAGTTGACAGGGCGTACACTAAATGGACAGTCGGCATAACAAAGCGAATGTAACCCTTTTTCACTCCAATACAATATAAAGACTAGAAATATAGATAAATAACAAACAATTAAAGAAATACTCATTAAATTTAGCGAGTATAAAGACCTCAATGCATTTCCACATAAGATATAAAGTGATTGAAGTATTGGGCGATAAGAACATCGTTGGACCGGCAAAAAGAGCGGCTATGAATGAATGCCAATCATGCGATCCATTAGAAGCCCACCGAAGACTACAATTCACTCCTTTATAAATAGCCGTAAATGAGGCCAAAAATAGACCGAAATAGATATTATCAGAGTTTAGAAAATTATTTCTAATCCGATTTGGATGAAGAAATATAAGCTTTGGTTTCGATATCGTCTGGAGAACTGACTTTCCAAACCAACCCAAAAATAGTGACCGAATAAATGATGAACTGATATATGTTAGACACGATCTTTGTCTGTGTGGACACGATTCGTGTTTAGGAAACATTGAATTAAATTTCTCTAACAAGTCTTTTACAAAATTGGTTGAAATGGGATTAGGAGTTGAATTTGTATCGGTATTAATTGTATCAATTGTTTGGATGCGTGCAATTTGTTGGTTTAGTGAATGGTGTGATTTAGCCTCCTGTCGGCCGATAATGAATTTGAGAGCCAGACTGACGGGATCGGTGCCGAAGCCATTCTTCTTAATTATATACAACAGTACAGACATCGTAAGAGTAAAGAGAAATACTTCACCGTTTTTCACGGCTTTTATATAACCTCTGGCTATAAATATTCTGAATATAGTTTCGGAAGCGATGTTCGCAACATATATGGCGAGTGCCGGTCGACGGGAAGGTCTTTCGATCATAATTGCTAATAGACTTCCGATAAAGGCTGGAGTATAGGCACACATACTATAGTAAAACTTTCCCATCAGTCGACGCGTCAAACAAAATAATAAAATGACTGAAAAGCCATTAAAACTTAGGAAGAGTGACGAACGGACAATACTTTGTACGCTTTGTTTTAGTCCATTCGAGTCAAACTTCTTCGACAATCCTTGAGATAACTAACAATATTGTCGTCATTAACAATACA